CCAGGATGTCCTCTTCTCGCTCTAATATCTCCAGCAAGGCGCTTACCGCCTTCTCGCCTGAGATGTTTGTCTACATGGATTGTACATCTAAACTCACCAACAGTTCTGACCCCACCAACTCAATGTTCTGGATCCTTTGAGAAAATTCATATGAATTCTTAACCCTATTCAAGTGTCTTTTATTTACTTGCTTGAGCTTCAAGCAAATTAATTTAACTAGTTTATGCATTGCTCCATGCTTGTTGTTGTTAATTAGTCCCTACTTGTGTATCTTCGGTAGTCCGTAGGCTGTCGGTGGTTTTGCGTCATTTTTGATTAAAGATTTAATCACCCCATTATGATGCATTTCCTTGAGCATATTTTTCAGTGTACCGTTGATTTTCGTGTTTGGATCCTTGCTTAGTATTTGATAAGTGTTCCGGTCGCCATTATCTCCGTGTACAGTTTCCTGTCCATTACAATAGTCGCTTCTCCCTTATCGGCCTGAAGAACTATTTGATCATTCTTTTGTAATTTTTTTCGTATACCAGCCAATTTGATCCTGTGTATCGGTTCTTGATGTGTCAAAATTCGTGGGATTATTTCCAGTTACATCTCCCGTCTTGTATCTTCTGGATATTTATCCGTAATTTCGACAACTTCCACCAGAATATCACTAGGACCGTCATAGACTTGGTATTAGGGATAGAGACAGGATAGACGAGGCGGCGATTGGAGACGTGGTCTAGTTAGCAAAGGCATGACCATGAGATTTACTCTGAAGCTTTAGCCCTACAATCAATCACCCAGGTGCAGGTCATAGACAAATTACGCATCGAGTAGCACAAATGGGGGGCAGGGGTCGAGTGAAATACATGAGATGTATACAAAATACATGTACCAGGGAGATAGCAGACGGATTCTACGGGGCAAGAGGGAGACTCTGATAGGACCCAGGGAAGGACTACGTAGCAATATGACAGAGTCTGGTCAACATTTCCAGCACAAGAGTGAAGGGGGTGATAACGACAGCGTAAAGTGTGAAGGGTTTTTATGAATGCTGCTCGAAGGAGCAGACCACACTATATTAAAAATTAGCACGCTAAAAATTTTGACAGGAAAGGCATGATAGGACGATATAGGAAATGTGAATAGCCCAGGGCAAAAGGGGAGATAGCACAACAGTTTAGTACACGTTTGGTCAAAGGATGGGATTTCGTTGTCTCTTTGACGAGTTGTTGTGTGGTGCTAAGAATGGCGAGACTCACTGACGATGCCGACTACGATGCTGAAGAAACGTCTGGGAATGTACCACGTCCACCTTCCTACTCTGGAAATGATGATGCATACAATGGACTCCGGACAAGGTGCGTTCCCCTAAGTCTCCCTACCAAAATGACCGAGTTGCGAAAACAAGGTCAAACAACTTCAATACCGTTATAATCTCCTAACAAACCGTCAAGTTCTATATCCACTGCTACAATGTAAGGTGTATCAAAAAGCATCTGATGTGATTCTAAATCTTAACAGCATTCAACATTACTTTAATCTCATTTTCTCCACTTATATGTGCTTTATGGAATAATTTGATGAAAGTAACTCATCCTGCGTTCTCTGCCATTACTTTAATGTGCTCTTCCCATACAGGATCGTTTGCTGGTAAATTTCTCAACACTTTTGTGTTTTGTATCATCATTCAGCAGCGTCAGTCTTAGCAGTTCATCAAAGGAGCATTTCACTAGACTTTGGACTGGAGACGCTGATTATGATGCCAGTGAAACGTCTGAAAATGGGCCCAGTCAGTCGCTTGAAAGTGCAGCTTCAAGTTACTAAATATGTCATTTGGTCCTTTTTTGGATTGTTCACCATGCATTTATGACGTACTCGGTTATGTTGCATTGTTAGAAGCTCATTCTTATGGAAACTATAAATTTATAGGATCCCTTTGGCCTCACTATATAATTATAATGTCTCCTCTTAATAAATGTAAAGCGAAATGTAATTTCCCTGAGGATAGTTTAAAAAAGTGTTTACTGCTGGAGCTTATGGCTGGCGACGCTGATTATGGTGTCGGTAAAATATTTGGAAGTGTACCCAGTCCGCGGCCCGAGCCTTTAAGGACATAACAATCAACTCGAAGTTGAATACTTTATGAAAACGAGGTTAAAAGT